GGGGGGGGGGGGGGCGCGGGGGGGGGGGGGGGTCGGAAATGCTGCTAAAGCAAGCCCTCCCTTCCCTTCCACAGTGGCCAGGCCAGAGGGAAGCTGGGCTGAGGGAGGGGGCATGGCTAGGCCCTGGCAAGCCAGAGTATAATTGGGTAAGGTTTCAAACCCCCTCCCTGGCCTGCAGGGACCCCAGCTGGGATGTGCCTGGAGGGGGAGGGGGGAAGCAACCCTTGCCAGGCTTTTGAGGGGCAGGAAGAAGAAGCGTGGCCAGAACCTGGCCCCCAGTCACATGCCGGCTTGGCATGGCTCCCTAAGGTGAAGGGGGCAGGGAAGGGGTTTATTCTCCCCTCTCTCCCTGGGAACCCAGCAGGTCTGCCTTGCTGGGGTGCAGTAGCCCCTGTCAGGATCCCTCTCCCCTTGCCGCTCGAGGGGCGGCGGCATGGGCAGACGCCTGCCTGGCATGGCCCCCTGAGGTGAAGGGGGCAGGGAGGGGATTTGCTTCCCCCTCCATTCCCTTTCCCACCAGGGGACCCCAGCCAGGGTCTGCCTGGCCAGGGGCGAATAGCAGAGGCAGCAGCTGGGGCTGGCAGACCTCCGCTGTGGTCCCCTCGTGGGAGAGGGGATGGAAGGGGAAGTAGTGCCCGCCCCCCGGTTTCCTTCGCCTTAGGGGGCCATGGCAGGCCAGCGTCTGCCCATGCTCCCGCCCCGGTGCTGGAGTAGCAACAGGGGAGAGACCCTGACAGGGGCTGCTTCACCACTGTCAGGCAGACTCCAGTTGGGGTCCCCCGAAGGAGCGGGGGGGGGGGAATAAAACCCCTCCCAGCTCCCTTTACCTCAGGGGGCCATGCTGGGCTGGTGTCTGGCCATGCCCCCACCCTTGCTCCAGCTAGAAAGCAGAGGGGTGGGGCCAGCCCTGCTCTCTGGAGCAGACAGCACAGCCCAGCCCAGCCCAGGGCTGGAAAGCATTCAGGGATGCGGGGGAGACTGATTTAACTTAAACCAGGAAGGGGTCTGGGACAGAAGTTCCATAAACCGATTTGACTTCAATCAGTTAAGCTGGATACTACATTCAACCAGGTTTTATCTTAAACCAGTTTTGGTCATTTTGAAACTGGTTTATATACACTGAACATTTGTTCTGTTACAGGTTTAAGCCAGTTTCTGATCACTTAAACCAGTTTGTGTGTAACTTCCGTCCCTAACCTTTGGCTCTGTGAGCTGGATGAGTGGTGTGGAGTGGGTCCATGGACTGGAGACCCCACACACCAGGGTTGGGCCAACATGCCTGGGTCAGGCCCCACATGGCTTCAGCTAGTTCTACACCATCTCTGCCTGGTCCTGCGTGCTGAGTCCTGGGCTGCCTTCATTCGGCCTCATGGTACAGGATCAGGTCCTGTACACCCAGTATAGATAGCATGTGGGGCCAAGGCCCTTGGACCTCCCCATGGGAAGCCCCGCGAGTGCCAGGGGCTGTATCTGGGCCATGGGCCAGAGGTTCAGTATCCCTTGCCTGTGTTATTAAAATATCTTAGAGCAAGTGGTCAGAAATTAGCAGTATTATTACAGAAGCATGTAAGCGCTGCATTGAAATTAGTTAAGAAATAAAATAATATTTCAAAAGCTGAAAAATATGACTTAGTGGATAACTTAAAATACAGGCCACGTTGTACACAACTGCTTATATGAGCAGATATTATGGCAACAATACATTTTCATATAATAGCAATAAAACTTTTGTCTCACAAATCACAAGTGTAGCTTAATGAGACACTAAGACAACTTAATGCACTACTTCTCTTATAAATCATGACAGTTACCTTGAAAAAAATCCGAACTAAATTGGTCTGTAATATCTGAAGTGCTACTGCTTCGAGTAATTTGTTGATCCTGGTCTGCAAATGGACCACTTGACTCTGTCCCTGTGACATTTTCTGATGGCTGAGATTCTTCAACTTCTGTAAGTATCAATTAAATACATGTTACAAATATTTTAACACTATTCACACACATGCTTCCTCCTAATCTAGACAAGCCATATGATAAACCAAATATTAATAAAGCATAAATGTTCCAAGACTAAAATGAAAAACATTAGTTTAAAAATGCTTTATTGAAATTATATTAAATTTGGACAGATGTCTAGCAGAAATAAAGACTAATCCAGAGAAAGGGAAATGAAATTATTGGAGGTTCAGAATGTGTGATGAGGGTTCAAAGGGGTGGCAGGAAAACAGATTTAAAAGAATAAGCCTATTTAGCCTGGAAAGAAAAATGGAAGAAGATACGCAAATAAGTAATATAAAAATGACCAGTCTGGTATTCCCATTTACCTCACCCATAATGAAAAGAAACATCTGAATATGCAAGGTGTTTATCAAACTATTTGTATGTTATATCTATTCTGAGTTATTCCACTCATTTCAGAGGACTTCAGTCAAACAAATAAGAAATCTCAACAGTATTATATGTTCCTATAAACCACAGCATCTAGGAGTAGACTATTCCCTCCATTCCTCATTTCCTCCTTCACATTCTGTACTCCCAGCTAAGTTGCTCTGAAATGACCAGTACTTGCTACTGGCAGAGAGTAGATATTGAACTAAGCAGGATTCCTTCCTGAGCATTCAAAGATATGCTTAAGTCTGACATCTATCTCCTGCACTCCTTAGGACAGGGGTTAACAACGTACAGCCATAGACTGGGTCTGGCCCATGGAGCTACTGGATCGAGCCTGTGGAGCCAGAAGGCTTTGCCTCTGCCCATGTCCATGTTGGGACTGGGCATCTAGAAGCTGCGCCCGCATTGCTACTGCTTCTCCTTGCTCCCTGCTCCCCAGCTGCAGTGTAGGCACAAATTCCAGTTGATGAATAACTTCTGGCTGTGCCTGTACTTTAGCCAGGAATTGGGGAAGCAATGAGAATGCAGCTTCAAGTTGCCTGGCCCCAGCACAGCTCCCCAGCAGCTGGAAGCTGCATTGGTTCTGCAGCCAGGGAGTGGGATAGAGTGTGGAGAAACAGCAGTGAGAGTGCGCTTCCCAGCTGTCTGGCTACAGTGCAGTAGGGGTGTGCAAAATGGGCCATATCGATTCAGATTCGGCCTGAATTGGGAACAGTGATTTGATTAGTTGATTTGGATCACTGTCCTGATTTGATTTGGCCGAATCCAAATCTGAAGATTCAATGCTGATTCGGAGACTCAG